AAACATCACAGTCTACCGGTGATGCACCTCCTCCAACAAGGCCACATCTCATAATCCTTTCCAAGCAATACCACCAACTGGGAACCAAACATTCAAATGTATTAGTCTATAGGGGTCATTTTCATTCAAACTCTCATAGAAGTCTAGCAGTACATACTGCTAATGGTTGGTTCCCAGTAAACCTTTAGGTAAATGTTACCTAGATAGTGACTTGGGGTAAATGTGAACCTTGAGTATGAACGAACCTCTCTGTTATACAGAGAGGAGAAAGAGAGGGAGGGTGGATGATGAGGGTGGGGAGAGAAGAATCAAGGCTGACCGCCTCACCAGGACAGACCTAAAGTTTAGTATTCATTTGTTTTTATCTTATATGGCTATTTTACAGTGTGTGTACTATGTATGTGCCTGGTGGGAGCAGCAGAGGCCAAGAACGGCACTGGTTCTGTAACTGGAGTTACAGATAGTTGTGTGAACTCCTTATGGGTTTGGGAGAACCAGACCTGGGTCCTCTGCAAGAGCAGCAAGTATTTTTAACTGCTGATTCAGCTCTCCAGTTCCAGGTGCAAACTTTGAAATGATTAGTTGCCTTCGTTGTGGTTCTCTATAAGATGTGTTAGCAGAAGATGGCCTGGGGAAGGCAGATTTTCTGGCTTAGGATATTGGAGTGAAGTAAAGAGTGCTTTAAGAATTAAATTCCTAGCTGGACGGTGATGGCAAATGCCTTCAATCCCAGCACTCAGGAGACAGGCAAGCAGATCTCTGTGAGTTCAAGACCAGCCTGGTCTACAAGAGCTAGTTCCAGGACAGGCTCCAAAGCCACAGAGAAACTCTGTCTTGAAAAACCAAAAATAAATAAATAAAAATTTAAAAAAAATTCCTGTCTCTGTTGGCTTCTGTATTGACAGACACCTTAACCTCCAGGATTCTGGCTACACTTGGCTCACAGAAGAAAAGCCTCAGGACCCTCAGCAAGTCATTCAGTTGTCCTAGAGAACCTGAGGCCAGACTAAGAGTAGGAGTTCCTGGAGTTCCGGGGTGGAAATGCTTCCAAGCATCCACTAAGCCATTCTATTTGGGGATTTCCCCTTTCCTGGCTCTAAAGCTTTCTATCACCTTCATGTAGAAAACTGAACCTTCTGCTTTGATGGGCAGCCTAAGGCTGGTCTGCCTTCTGCCTTAAAAGTGCTTTCTGTTGTGTTTCTATTTCTTCTTAGGTTATGTCTTGTTTCTCCACTTAAAGTTTTTTTTCTATTCTGTTCTGTCTGGGTATTTCAGAACTTAGACTGTTAGGTGGCATAGCCTCCACTCCTCGTGGCAACTCCTGAGGGTCTGTTCTATCAAGTTACTCCAACTTTGCTTATGATTAGATAAAAAAGAAAAAGTGGCATATTATTATAAATTAGTATAATGTAATTTGGGCCACTCTACACATTTGATTCTGTGTAAATACGTTCATTGAATGGATCTCTAAATTATGTAAGTATTTTACATCTATTTCACAAGTGTTTTTCAGAGAATTGGGAAGTTGGGGAGAGGTTCTCATATTCAGGATTTTGTGGTAGTGTACACTCAAGATTTGGTCTTCACTGGAGGAAAATCATCTATAAAAATAGAAATGCCGAAGTTGTTTCAGAAAACCATAGCCAGGAGGAGGATGAAGCAGCAGCAGCCACTAGTGGGCAGGCAGGGATGTGACGCTGGAAGGGATAAGACCCTCAGCCCAAGTGTGGCAACCACAGAACCTGCCTTCCCACGTCCAAGGGAAATTATAGAAGACTGGAAAGAAAATGTCTGAAGTCGTGCCCCCTTCTTGGACCCAGCAGGGTACTCTCATTCGATGCTACTCTTCCCTACTAAGAGGAACAACACCCTCACCCCGCCCCTGCCATCCCAACGTGGGGAATAATGGGGAAAATAAAGACTTGGAGACTACTAGGCACATACCCTCCTTTTTCACACTAGATATTCTAAATTGGAATCACACAGGGCCATCCTGCTGGCACGACCCTGTCAGAGTGATTGGTTTAGTCTCTAGGTTGGCAGACTTTGGGCCCTGTTCACTATTGTCCTGATGACTGATAGAGGGCTCATATTGCATAAGGCTAGGGAGAAAGTAGGGAAAGCATACCAGGACCATCCATCTGAAACTCTTGTCTTTGATGAGGTGGTCTCACAGCAGAGCCTAATTGTAATATTAATGATAGAGTAGGAGATCTAGAGTGTTGGGTAATAGCCTTAAGATCATGAGGAATTTAATCAGGCTACATGGGACAATAGCTCCTAGCAACAAAAAATGGTTTAGCTCCCGCCTGACTGTTCAGCTTCACCTCAGAAACAATATGGACTACAGTAGATCATTTAGTACAGAGAGGTAACCATAAAGAATGTAGAAGGATGCTGCTTTAACCTGATAGGCTAGGCATAGTTGGCTGAACAAAAATCTAAGGCAGCTGATGACACTGCCTTTGACATGAAGAATAGAGGAGGATTCTTCAGTGTCAACCTCCTGTGCCTTTGGCTTCCCAGCCTCCCTGGCCCCAGGGCAGCCTTCCTGCTTTCTCCATTGCTTATATACCTTTGCATATCTATCTGCTGTTGTAACTGTGCTCTGACTTTCACAGCCTCCCTCTCCGTTAAGATCCCTAACTAACAATTATATGCCCAGCTGCAGATGCCATATTTCATGTAAAACTGATATGACTTATTATAACAATAGGAATGAACAGGAGACAAATAGGGGAACTTCATAATCTGCAGTGTGAGAGCACATTTGTACTTCCTATCACCTGTTTGTCCTGAGTTAACCTTTAACGTAGATATAGTCTGGATGGTGACTCAGGAAAAATGTAGGACCGGGGAGGCCTAGGTGTACACGAGCACCTCACTGCACAGAGAGAGCTGATAATGAGGGGAATGTGCAGGCAGTGATAAGAAAAGAAGTACGAACATCATGAATCTCCTGGACTAGGCAGGCTTCCCAACCTGAAGTTCAAGACAAAATTTTGAAGTGATTAATCACCTCTGTACCAGCTGCCTAGACAACACACTAGTGGGAGCTGGCTTGAGGCAGATTTCCTATGGTTTCTGAGATTGCTGGCTCTCTATATCAAATGAGCTTTCAAGATTCTGCTTTTTGATTATTTAGTGACAGACATGCGATCTCTGGTATTCTGGTGAGATTTTCAATAGTCATTCATTGCCCATGTCTGTGGATGACCAAACATCCTTGTGACTTTCAGGGTAAATCTTTTCCAAATGTGTTAACTTAGTCAACCATGAGATCCACCATCCCCAAAGGTAAGAAAGTCATCAGAAAACATGTAAAACCTCTAGCTGAGAGTTCACCACTTAACTATAACTTCAATGTTCCTATCAGTACAGTTGGAAAACACCTTGGTTTATGACTTTCTTTTGTGCCTTAACTATGATAACCTCCAAAGCACATTTCCACATTGGAACATGTTATTTGGGACAATTGGAATCCATGTTCATATTTGGGTAAAAAATGAGCTTTTTGTTTTATTTCTTTTGATTGAGAGCTGTGTTTGGTGTCAACAGTCCTAAACACATAAAGCTGAGGATTTTAAGAGGGAATGAGCAACTGAGTCTGGAGAAGTGGAAGAAAATATAGATGAAAAGTGTTGCTTAGATTTAGCAATCCTGGGGCCACTGCTAATCCTGATGGGTACTTTAGGCAGAAAGTGAGTGAGGGATCCTGACTGGAGGGGGCTGATGCTTAAACAGAAATGGGAGAGTAAAGGCCATGCGTGTAAACATTTTCCCAGAATTTATAGCACACAGCAAGACATTAGGCATTATGGGGCAGGGTATAGATAAGAAGAAGCCTCAGTCAAGGAGGGTGTAAACAGTGTATCACCAGGTTGACAATGACGGGAAAATAGTGTAACCACCAGGTTAACAATGACAGAGAAGAACAAAAGTAACAGATAACACTGAGCCCCTCTGAAAAAAAAAATCTATAAAACCCTGGATTTGGAACCACAGATTCCTAAAATTTCTAATCCCGTAATTATGTTTCTATTAAAGAAGTGGTTCATACTTGACTTTTATTTCTTAGCTGCAAGGAAAGACTTAGGGTTGGGCTAAAAGAAAAGTTGTCATGTCCTAGAAAAAAGAAAAATAGTCCAATTTCCTCTAGGAGTGACTTGACCATTGACCATCAGGCCTCAGCAAGTGCTGTGGTGACACAAAGAATGACTTGACCTTTATGTAAGGAAACAAGGACAACACACGAGAGTCTATGGCAAAAGCTATTAACACTCCTTCCTAGGAGAGGTGAAGGTCACTCGGCTCTCACGTAAGATTCCAGTCACCATTCCCACCACCCCTGCCCTAGAAGCACGTAATTTTGTCACTGTGTACATGGCCTGGGAAGGGTTATCAGCAAATATAGAAGGTGGGAAGGTTGACTGAGGGCTAGGGTTCTTCAGTAGCTGCTGGGGAAAGGACTTCTTGGTGATATCCTAGCAAGAGTCATCCATGCTCCTGTAAGTAGCCCCTCACCCATGTATACTCATGTTAATATTCTGAATGGAGTTTTGATTTGTTAGACTTGACTTGGATGGAATAGTTGTTCTTGGTCTGTTGGTACCCTATCTTTCTGGGGTAATTGCCATGTCTTCATGTCTCCCCAGGAAAGAAACAACCATATAAACATAAAATATATTCATAAAAATGTATTTGTGAACAGGTATGATGGTATATGCCTGGAGTCTCAGTTACCTGAAAAGATGATCCAGAAGGATCTCTTGTCTCTTGAGTCCAGAAGTTCAGATCCAGTCAGGGCAATAAGGTGAGATTACATCTTAGTGTGTGTGTGTGTGTGTGTGTGTGTGTGTGTGTGTGTGTGTGTGTGTGTGTGTTTATATACAGTGGAATAAGGAGGAGAAGGGAATTAATTAATCACTACTTAAAAGCACTCATTAATAAATGAAAGGAGAAGTGAGTATATTTACACACAGAGTTACCGAGCAGCTTACTTTCTGCATATTTTTTGTTTGTTGCAAGACCAGGTAAATCTGACTCTTCAAAGGCACTTCTCGGTTCAGTCTTATATTTAAAAGATACACGACTGGAAAAGAATGAAAGTTAATATGAATGAAAATAATCAGAAAATTTACAAAACAGATTTAAGATACAAATTTGGAGAAACATAACCATGCCCATTGAGGGCAGAAGGCAGACTGAATGGATAAAGAACCCTAAGTGGAGAGGACAGGACAAACCTATTGCTAGGACAGGAAACAGGGCACATGAGGTACTAATATTCACAAGCTGACATGAACTTGGTTCTATGAGATCTGGGGAACAGATTTGAATGGAAAGTGGTGAAATCTGGTCTCAGGGACAATTCACACATCAGATAGGATGACAGCAATTATATGGTGCCATAACATGGTACTAGCTTCCCAAGGATCCCAGCCTGCAGAGGGCCTGTCTAGATTCCCTAGCCTCCATAAACCCATGAGTCGATTCTCCTGATAAAAATCCTCTTAAATCTCTCCTTGAACTCACAGAGACCCTCCTGCCTCTGCCTCCCAGGTGCTGGATTAAAGGTGTGGACCACTATGCTGGGCTGGTTTTAGCTTCTCACATTATCAGATAATCTAAGGCAAATATGGCACTTTCAAGCTTTCAGCTGAATTATGATAGTTACATTTTTGACTTCTTAAGGTTACATGATTTATCTTCTACGCTCTCTGTTACTGTCTTAGGTGCAGATGGAGCAATTGTGCCTCCAAATTCCTCATGAAGATCAGATAGCAGGGGCGTAGTCAAAGGCTTTTTTCTTTGCTCAAGATGAACGTTGGTTTTCTGCAGTGACGTCAAAATGAAAAAAAAGAAAAAATAAGTGTTCTTTCAACAGGCAAAATTCTATATATTAAGGACAAAAATTAATCTATACATACACATACATACACACAGAGAAAGATTGAGATGTAGCCAGAGACAGAATTCACGTGTAAGGGAATAATGGAAAATATTTAAGATTTAAAATTGAAGGCTGAGGCCTGGGCAGTCTAAGGGACCGCTGACAGTGGAACCAGGATGTATCCCTGGTGCATGAAAAGACTTTGGAAGCACATTCCCCATGGAGGGATACTTCCTTGACCTAGAGGCAGGAGGGAGAGCCTCGTCCCTACTCCAAATGACTTGACAGATTTTGTTGATCCCTCCTGGAAGGCATCACCCTCCTTGTGGAGTGGAGGAGGGATGGGCTGGGAGGGTGGTCTGGAAACATGGGAGGGAGGGAGAGATGGAGGGAAGGAAAGGGAACTGGGCTCAATATGTAAAATAAGACAAATAAATAATAAAAAAAGAAAGCAAAGAAGTGAAAAAATAAAATTGAAGGCTGAAAACATTATGTATTTAAGCTTGAAAAGAGTCTTTTACCTTTACTTTGTGACTTTTATGATACTTTCCCCATCTATTTAATAAAGGTAACACACTGATAACCATTCAGGAGCCCTTCTAACTCTAATTTTTTAGTGTTTAAGGAGAGACCTTTATAATTTCCTCTGAATTGAAACCTTCCTGCCTGGAGGGAAGCTCATGAAACCTATAAGAATTAGGAAGTTGAGAAGGTCAAAGATTTTCAAGGTCCCTCTAAAGTTATAGAAGTTGTAACCAACTGCTGGGGAAGAGGAGCCTCTTTCCATGGAGCCTCCTGCAAGTTGGGAAGGGAACCCAAGGATGTGGCTTTTATGAGTTATCACTGATGCTGGGGTGGGCGTTTGGTGATGTAGCTGCATGCTCTCATAAATCAACTCCCATAAACTCATCGGTTCACCAACTGTTTGATCTGTCGTCCATGCTCCATCTATGATGAGAAGATGTTTGCTTGTCTCTCTCCAGAAAGAGTCATAAATAAATCACATCTGTACAGGGACCAACAATCAAATATGATTTGGAGAGTTGCAGCTGCATGCCTCCTCTGATGGGTAGTAGTAAGTCATGCTACTGACACTGAGTCATCCTTTGTATGCAATTTTGACATGGCTTTCTTTCCTTCTGTAGTGTTGGCTGTGTGCTTCCTGTTATGAGTGATAAGGCATGCAACCAGGATTGAGCCACCAGAGATTTTAGCATCCTTGCAAGATATCCCAGGGTGATCATCTTCCTCAATGTAGAACTTGGTAATATTACTCTTGAATGACTGAAGTCTATGACATAAGTAAGGACATGCTTCCCAACTGGCTAATGAGCCAGATAATTATAATCCCTGTAAATGCCATGGATGTGATGGTAAGCAGGCTATGGTATCACTTGTATGGTCTTTGCATATAACCGAGGTTCTGTTCACCCAGCATGAACTTGCCATGTAAGAAAGGAATTACCATAAGAAAAAGGCATGTGGATGCAAATCTCAACACTAGCCTCTGATTTGGTAGAAAGGACGAAATAAAAGGATGGGATGTAAGTGTAAATGGCATTTCTCATAGTGTGGAGGACTCTTGAGAAGAATGTAGAAGCTACATTTGTCAGACAGCCCTTCCTGGGAACAAAAGACCTGGAACCTGGGAGAAGGTTAGAAAGTGGCAAGAGAGTGGTGTAGAAGTGACAGAGGGGAACCCTCAGGTCTGAGTGCTAAAGAAAACCCACGGTTCAGCATGCAGATAGGACCCTAATAGGCACAGTGTAGGAAACTGTGACAGGCAGGGAATATTCGATATCTGAATGACTTCAACCAGGAGATACTTCTAGGTAAGGAGAAGAGCTTCTCACTACTTAGCTTCTGAGGTCAAAGGACAAAGGATGGAAGAGTCTGCATGAAGTAGAAGCAGAGCAACCAAGCAATAGAATTATTCATTCCTCCTTCAGACCAACATGGAAGGATCTGAGGAAATCAGAGGGAAACAGGTTCCTGGTGGACTCCCACTTACAAGCCAGTTATTGCCAGCTCGAGTGCCCCTGTGCCAGGGACTGGAAGGCAGCAGAGGGTGGACAGGCATGACTAAGGGAAGTGTGGCTTTGAGAGCCAGTGCTTGATGCCCATTCCAAAGCCGGGTAGGAATGGGCTCCAAACACGGAAGTGGGTCTTCAATGGCCTTGCTGATCTCCACACTGGGATACCATCTCTATGAGGAAGGAGAGCTCTTCAGATCTGAATGACACTGGCAGATAAGTTGGAATCAGAAGGTTCTACAAACGCTCAGGGGATGAAAAAGGATGATTGGACTTGTCCAGGTTACTTGAAAGCAAAGGTGTGGCAAGATCAATGTCAAGCAGAGTTCCTTCTGGGAGTTGGGATTGCTAGAAATCCAAATACTGTGCTTATGAGTCTTCGGAAGGCTTTAAAGCCTGGATGGCAATTCTGGGACCATTGGGAGATGTAGAATGGACCTCCAGCAGTGGCAGCATCCCAGGATAAAGAGACCAGATGTCTCATAGAAGTTGACAATGAAACAGGGGAAGCTAGTAGTATTTTCATCCACACCACTGTACTCGGCTTTGCCCCTTTGATAAAACAGTTGTTTCAAGTGATGGGGTCTTTTCTTGTCATATTAAACTTTTCCAACTTACAAAAAAATTCCCTTAGCTTTTAAATCCCAAGATTAACTAACACTTGGTTGGAATGAGTGTAAAAATGTTTTAAATTATATAATGCATTTATATGTCATACATAACATATATTTATTATACATTGAGTCTTTTACAGACTTGTAAAAACATTGTGTAAGAACAGTAGAAATATCAGCTGAGGATTTTGAAAGAACTGTGAGTTGAAAAGGCACTTCCAAGAGCAATAGGGCAGTTAGGGGATTGCCCCAGTGGAAGTGGTAGGTTGCCTGCCTATGAGTGATTGCCCATGGAGGTCTCCAACACTACTAAAGTCGAAAGGCTATTGTCTGTATTGTTGGCTGAGTGTTAGAACTGAACTAGGTAAGACCTTATGGCTGGAGATGTCACACACGTTAGCTGAAGGATATGCAGAAGTCAAACAGACTAAACTACAGGTTTCCTCCCTGCCAGATGGCGGTTGGAGCTGTAGGCAACTGTGAGTCTATAGTATACACTTTATAAACAATTTCCAGGGAACAAAAATCAACTTGTTCATATATGCTGAAACTCTAGTATTTGGGAAGTATTTGTTAACCGTTTTTCCTAGAATTCTGAGTTTACTTTGTTTCTATATGGTCCAATTACTATTAATTCAGTAACAATGCCAAATGTTACTTTCCCTTTTTGAAGTTTCATCTTTTTTTTTTTTTTTTTGAGAATTTTCTACACTACATTTTGATCATACTCTTTCCTCTTAATCAGCTTCTCTGAGATCTGCTCCCCCACCTCATGTTCTTTCTTTGTTAAAAACAAAGAACCTCAAACCAAGACAAAACACACAATAAATATGCAGTTCAATTTGTGTTGACTAGCTAGTCCTGAGCATGAGGCCTGCCCTGGAGTGTGACTGTTATACTCCTTATCACTCCTTTGAAGAAAACTAATTTTTCCCTCTTGTGGCAGCTGTCAAACACAAATAGCTTACAGTAGGTGTGGGACTTGGTGATTTTCATGTATTTACCAGTAACTTTGTATATACTTAGCATATTGGTAACAACTGTGGGTAGACATACTTGGTGTTTAAGAGGCAGTACTTTTTAAAGCAGTTTTGATACAAATGTGACCTAGAACACAACAGCTAGTTAGAAGTGATCTTGTAAGGTTAATTTCTGTCTTTGCTGTTCTTTTTTGTGCTACTGGGGCCAGCTCTCTACCACTGAGTTACGTACTTGATCACTTTTTTTTATTATTTACCTAGATAAAGGGCTTTCAATTGCTCTTCTTACAAAGTTGAACGGCATTTATATGAAAATATAAATGAATTTGTCATATTAATACATCGTTAATTGTAAAGTACAAATCTTATCTGAAATGTTAACTTTCTAACAAGTACAGTGTTCTTAGCATCCACTTCATATACCTTTGCTCTGATGGCTGCAAGTACCCTTGCATTCTCATCCAGGGCTTTTAACTTCTCCAGGACTTTCCCCATCATCTTCTGTCAACCAATTCCTGGTTAAAAGGGAGGAAGAAGAAGTATACAATTCAATTCAGACACAAACACATGATGGTTATTTAGGCATAAGGAGAGAGCCCATTTCAATTACTGCTTTGGGTACATTTCAGAGCTTTGTTGGTCACAGAAACAGCCACAGAATTATAAAAGTGCTCAATTGCTTTTTTTTTTTTTTAATAGGAACCCACCCAGAACTTCAAGCTTGTCACATGAAAGCCAGATGTGCTTCCTATTGAAAGTGAGGCTGTGTGATTGAACATCTGTTCTCTTTTGTCATGATATAATTTAATTTATTTTTCTAATAACTTATTTATTTTTGTTCTTTGTGCATTGGTGTTCTACCTGTGTGAGGCAGATGTCTGTGTGAGGGTGTCGGATGCCTTTGGAACTGTAGTTACAGACAGTTGTGGACTGCCATGTGGGTGCTGGGAATTGAATCCAGGTCCCCTGGAAGAGCAGCCAGTTTTCTTAACCTCTGAGCCATCTCTTTGACCCTCATGATATAACTTAAATGAAAAGCATGCAAAGGCCTCAACTTCATACAGATAACTAAACTTAAATTGGTCCATTGGTATTCAGTACTTAGCAGGCATCTAGAGGCAGCTAATCTGAAAATCCTTATTGGGGTTCAAATAATGCAAATGAGCTGGTTGGACACCAGAATGCGAATGCTGGGTAGGTGTGCCTAACCCTTGGTAATTCTAAGTCAAGAAGGTGAAAACAGGTAATTCCCAGAGCAAGCTGGCCAGCAAGAGTAGCCTTGTTGGTGATGTCTGCTCTAGACTGGAAGGTATGTTTCCTGGCATCCATCTCCAGCCTCTACATGTATACCCACACAGGTGTGCTGCCTCAACGTGCATCCACACACAAGTGAATATGGTAACACACACACACACACACACACACACATACACTATAGCAAGAAAATGAGAAGAGAAATGAATGCAGAATCGGTAATTCAGTACTCTCTTTTATGTTTATTTTAAAAATTTGGGCAGATGATTGCATGTCTTTGCTCAATGAATTGAGTGGGATCCAGTGGCACTTAATTTTAAAAATTATCATGGCTCACTGGAAGTACTGAGCTCACCTGTGTTTTTAAAGAACACCAGTCAGTGTCAATACTGAATTTCCTTCTAGCTCAAAAAGTCCTTCCATATCTCTCCCATATGATACTGGACATTATCCAGTCAGTATTACAAGGGACAGCTGATGGGAGATGTCATTCTGTAAATATGTTTCTCATACTTGTTAATGCATAAAGCACTGTTGGCCAATAGGAAAGGAAGATAGGAGGGACTAGGAGACAAGGAGGAAAGAGGAAGTAGTAAGGAGGAGTCAAGATAAAGAGTCTGGAGAGAGCAGATCTGCCAGCCACCTCTCCCCGGTAAAATAAGACCACGTGGAAATACATAGAAATGGGTCAATATGTAAGACAGAGCTAGCCGATAAGAAACTAGTACCTGGCCAACAGCATTATATCAAATACAGAGTCTCAGTGTGTTATATTGGGGCAGGCGCGGCGGAGGGACAAGACCGGCGGCGGGAGGAAACACCTTACTCGTTATAGACAGCCACACCTGAAAGGCAAGGATTCACATTGCTTGCTTCTTCATTTCTTTTAACTTCTACTACTTTCCCTCACCAAATATTGTACCAACTATGAATACCCACCCACGTGTGTATGTGTGTGTGCATCTGTGTGGTGTGTGTGTGTGTGTGTGTGTGTGATGAGAGATGTCATTCTGTAAATATGTTTCTCTTATTGGTTAATGAATAAAGCACTGTTGGCCAATTGGAAAGCAAGATAGGTGTGACTAGGAGACAAGGAGGATTCCGGAAGTAGTAGGGAGGAGATCCAAGATGGAGGATGGAGAGAGCAGAACACCGGCCCCTCTCTCCGGTAAGATGAGACCATGTGGAAATACTTAGATTAATAGAAATGAGTTAATAATTAAGACAAAGCTAGCCAATAAAAAATACTTGTAAGTGGCCTACAGCTTTATATCTAATACAGCATCACTGTGCGTTATTTGGGGCTGGCACGGCTGGGGGGGCTAGACTGGCAGGAAACTAGTCATAACAAAATGTGTGTGTGTGTGTGTGTGTGTGTAAAATCTCTATACAAATAAAATAGGATAAAAGCAGATCTTTTGAGATTCCATTTCACCTCTGTGTGGGTGGACTCTGATACTTACCTGGTTATTCAGTGGACATGAGCTGAGGCATTTTGAATGCAGCCCAGAGGCTGGGAAGGATGTCTGTCATCTTGTTGGGATAAGATCTAAAAATGTTGAAGATGTGGCTGAGCTGGTGGCCTAAGCTTGCATAACTGGTGTGTGTGTGTGTGTGTGTGTGTGTGTGTATATATGCATAGTGTGTGATATGTGTGATGTATGAACAATATGTACATGAGTGCCAAAGGAGGAGGATGTTAAGAGCCCTGCTCCATCATGTCCTGCACTATTCCCTTAAGACAGAAACTCTCACTGCAACTAGAGCTGGCCAGGAAGCCCCAGTGATCCTCTCTCTCTCCTCATGCCCCAGTGCTGGAGTTAACACTGTGAGTACAACCATGCTTTCTTTTTTATGTGTCTGGAGATTTGAACTCAGGTTCTCATGCTTACACAGCAATGGTTCTTGCCATTGACTGAGCCATCTCTCCAGCTCCAAAGCTTGATTTTTAAATGTTGAGCCTCTGGGCCTCATGTGGATGTGTTTCACCCAAGAGGGGGTATTTTAAGTAGGCAGTTAATTCCTCTCATTTCCTCTTGGATACTCACACACACCATCCCTTCTCTTCACATCCTGTTTGCAGAAAATGCTACCCTGCCTTAAGATGGATTACTGATGCTTCCTATAGTTCCTTCCACATTCCCATTCTTGGTGGACTCCAGGCCACCCAGTGGATATTAGATGGCTTTCTGTTGCCTTAGACTGTATACTTTATGAAAAAGAGAGAATTGCCTATCTAGATCATAGTTTTGGAGCTGAAGTCTAAGATTAGGAAGTTTCATTTGTTCATCTCTGAGTGAAACCTTATGGCAAATGGTATGAGGATGGTGACAGGAGGTACAAGAACCATGATGTCATATATAAAGCCAGAGGGAAGGCAGGGTCCAGTTCGGTTCTTTTATATATGCCCCATTGTAAGATCAGATTGGTCCCTCTATGGCATACCCCAGTGACCTCAGTATCTCATATCACTACACTGGAGACCAACCTTTCAATACACGAACTTTTAGGGAGGATGCCCTCAGGGAGGAGACCATGTCCAAATCAAAGTACCAATGTGACAAAGAACTTGTGCTTGGAAAAATATGGGGCATGGGGACACAGACACCTTCCCCATATAGGGCTCATGGCTACTAAGACAGGAATGGGTGGTCTCATGGGCCATGTGCCAATTCACACAAGCCTAGGCTCCTACAGGTGGGAGAGGGAGGTCTCATAGACCACCTGTCAATCCACACAAGCTTGGGCTACTGCAGGTGAGAAAGGGAGGTCTCATAGGCCATGTGCTAATCCACACAAGCTCAGGCTCCTACAAGTGGGAGAAGGAGCTCTGGATCCAGGTGTCAGCATATTGTGGTCACTGCAAGCTTTGAGGGTCTCCTGCAGGAAGGCAGGGGAAGATTTTGGAAGAGACAAATAGTTTATCTGGATGCTACAGACTTTCCTTTTAGAGCCAGGAACAGGTCATTTTGTGTTTGAGAAACAAGGATGGAATTTAGGCTTCTGTTTTCATCACAGAAGTGGATAGGCCAAAATGTCTTCTAGTGGAGACAGAAAATTAATTCTCAGTGAGAAATAAGAAGGTGAATTAGCACATTGAAGAGAATGGTTTCCCCAGCTGGAAAAAGGTGCAAATGACACAGAACACTAAAATCTGCTGCTTACTCATGCTAAACAATAAAGCAGTCTCTTTAGGGCAGCAGTCCTCAACCTATGGCTCATGACCCCTTTGGGGGGGTCGCATATCACATATCCTGCATATCAGATATTACATTGTGATTCATAATGATTACAAAATAACAGGTATGAAGTAGTAATGAGATAATTTTATGGTTGGGGGTTACCACAATGTGAGGAACTGTATTAAAGGCTTGTGGCATTAGGAAGGTTGAAAACCACTTCCTTAGAGTGAGATGTCCTGTGTCTTCTACTTTTAGTGCCCTCTGTCTCCAATGTCACAATCAACATAAGGTGCAACGTGCCTCCTCATTTTATACACATACTACTGTATCAGAGAAAGATAATTATGATGATACCTATTGTTTTCTGTCTCCTATTTCCTTCACTGCAAAGTTTCTTTAAACTCCAATCTGTACTTCAGGGTTCTAGTTTCCTACATCCTCTTTGTTCCCAATCTACCACTATCTGGCTTCTAATTAAATCAGCCCCTAGATTATCACGGTCTTCTGAACTAACGAATACTTTATTTTTGCTCTTAAATTATTTGAACTTTTATAAATTTGTCAGTATTGATTATGCCTTGCTATAGAAATTCTTGTCCCCCTCAGTTTCCATAACATCAGTCTTTCTGCCTCCCTGGAAGATTTCTTACCAATGTCTTCAGGCCCTCTCGTCAAACACTTGTATCCCCAGGAGCTACATCATGTCTCTCATTGCTGCACATTTTCCCCAAGACATCCTCTTACGAATCCATGACTTCATCTACTGCCATCCATTTCCAAATAAGTTCTCCTGAGTTGCAAGCCTGTGTATACAGCCCAATCCTGCAAAATTCCTCCATCATTCCTTTTCTGTAAACATGACTCTCTTCCAACCTATGTGATCACTCTAGCTTTTCTCAGGCTTCTGGCTCACACACTGGGGTCATCATAACATTTCTTCTTAGCTATGCTACAGAACAAGACGAAAACATGGATACAGATTTCTGAGTGTCCCTTCAGGCCTCCAAAGTAAAAATTCAGGGAGTGAAGATTAGGGACCCTCTTATTCTCCTCCTGGGTATTGAAGTAGGCAAG